TTACTATAAATAAAATATATTTTTGTAGGAGTTGATATGCCGCTAAACAAACACACAATTAGTATCACCCCCTTTGTGTCTTAGTGGCTTTATTGCTTTGCTTAGAGGTTAAATGATTTTAAAAAAGAAAAGGAAAAGATAGACTTCTTTTTAAGGCTACAAACATTGTCACAAGCCCCAGGTAAGCAGAAACTTTGATGATATATTCCTTGGAGACACATGTTAAATGTCATGAGTTTTATGTGGTATGTGTCATATGGAAAAGTCATATTTGTTTAATCAGCTGGATTTCAACCATTTTTTTTTTCTCTTTTCTAATATTACAAAGCTTGTCTACTTATTACAAATGAGGCAACATGTTGCCTTTCACTGAGAAATGTGGAGCCATTGTTTTAATAGACTTAAAGTATTTGTTGTCTGCCTTGTGGAAATAATGGTAACCATGACACTATGCTTACTATAAAAATATTTTATTTGACAGAACCTTTTCAAAGAAACATTTAACAGAAGTGTCATTTTGGTGTAAACAAAGATTTATATAATTTAAAAACGCATTACTTTTTTGCTATTTAAACTTTTTTTTAATTATTTTTTAAAATGTTTTTTGTATAAAGAAAATACTCTATCTACTTTATAATATATATTTTAACAATTATATTATATTTGAATTGGTTGTTTATGTCGTCTTTGATATCTTGGGTAGGATTTATTAAAGCTTGTGTTATGGGTGGTGACTTGTTAGTACAATTGAACAATTTATATATATGTACACTACCCACAAAAAGTTTTAAGATCACCTAATATTTTTTTCGAAAAAAAAAAAAACTCTATAGAAAGGAAATAACTCAAGAGTTTTTAGGTATCATAATTCCCCATGTATAATAGACATTTTTTTCTAAAAAATAATAATCAAAATAAGGGGTGATTGTTATGCACAGCTACAAAAATTCTTAAAAAAATTACCGTTTCATAGGTCGATTTCAGTTGCAAAATGACTACTCACCAAAAACATACAACAATTTGACACTAACTAACTTTCAGCGATTGCGAACCCATAAGGATGTCAAATACAATCATATGTACCTAACAATACTTACAAATGTAAAATGAAATAAGAATTATCATAAAACTAAATTAGAATAATATTATTCTATGTTTAAAACCATTTTTTGTGAAAAACTACATGCAGATCTGGTAGATTGCACATTTTATCAAACAAAAACAGGTTAATGAGTCTGAACAGTGTGCACAATATAGGTATTTCCGTTTCCTTTTAGAATTGGGATGATCAGAAATTTTGGTAAATATCTTCAATTACAGCTTGAATAAGAGTAGAAAACACTGCCTGTAATGAAATTGGAGAAGTACAATTTATAGGGTTTGATTAGGGGTGTTAATCATGCATGAGTAGAAGCATTTTCCCACAATTTCAGCACAATTTTAGAGGTGCATATTATGGATGGGAAAATACAGTAATTTTTTATTAAATGTATAATTACTTTCATGATGCAACATATTTTTACTCTGTAACAAAACAAAAATATGAAAAATGCTAAATATGAGATTCATCAAAAAATGCGCCCTTCACCTTGAGAACTGGTGAGCATCCTCTTGGCATTCTTTCAACCAATGGAAACAATTATTCACTTGTAATGTTTTACCATTCCTCTTTTAATAATGCTCACAAGGTTTCTGCACTGCTTGGTTGTAGCTTTTTAATTCTATGGTCCAATTCATCCCAAACTAATTCAATGGGGGTTGTAGTCAGATGATTGGCATTGCCATTATAACAGTCAAGTTATTTTCTTCAGTTTTCTTCTGTAAATAATTTTTACATAGTTTAGAGGTATGTTTTGGGTCATTATCTTGCATAAGCACAAATCTATCACTGATCAGTTATGTGCCAAATGGAATGGTGTGGTGCTGTAGGATAGAATGATATCCATGTTGATTCAATATTCTTGGCACCTGATAAATATCACCAACAGTATTGTCTGCAAAACAACCCCAGATCATCACATTTCCTTCACCATGTTTTACCGTTGACACAACACAAGTAGTAAGCATTTATTCACTAGTTCTTCATTTCACATACACTTGCCTCTGATATTCAGATATCTCAAACTTGGATTCGTCAGTCCAGAGGACTCGTTTCCACTGATCAACAGTTCAGTTTTGACGTTTTTTCGCCCATATGAGTTGCTTACGTTTGTTTGCTGGTCTAAGCAGTGGTTTCCTGGCAGCACAACAGCCATTTAGACCCACTGCAGTGAATCCTCTCCTAACTGTTGATGCAGACACATTAGCTCCACTGGCTTCACTTCCTTGTGGAACAATTTGAAGGACTGTCAGATTCCTGTTTCAAAGACTTGTGATTCTGATGAACTTATCTTGTGATTTAGAAGTGGGTTTTGGTCGACTTGACCTCTCTCGGTCATTATTTTTACCCGTTTCCATATTTCTCACAATAGCAGAGTGAACTGTAGTGTATGAAACTTTAACTTTTTCTGGCTTTATCTCAGAAACTATAGACTTCAAAACGTAATGTGACAATGGTTTGCCTCTTCTCAGGTGATAAATTACATCTCTTGCCTATATTAAAATTGAATCTGCAACATTGAAATTATTATTAATATCTTTAATAATTGTACCTGAAACATATAATACCAATTATGAAACATATTTTGTGGTGTTTTGTCATCTGACAATACATAAGGAGTACCAATCGTGACTCTAGACTCCTTTGTTGCAAAATAGAGGGCTCTAAAACAATTTAGAATCAGCCTCCTCATACTTAGAGTGCTGAGTAAACGAGGTATTGCAATAAACAAATGTTATTTCATATCGAATATACCCAAACCTTGTGCAATGTGTTACTTCATGTAATTTTACTCCAAATCTATCTATACAGGTATACCTCACCCTATGTTAATTGGTTCCAGAGGTCATGACTTAAGTCAAAAAATGACTTAAGTCAAAATAACCACACTCTAAACCACAAATAAGCACTCTCCATTAACTATTACAGTATTTATGATATATACATACAGTATTCTGAATTAAATAATTAATTTTCCCCTTATCTTACAGTGATATAGCCTTACACTTAGCATTAGCACTTGTACTGGGACTTTTCTTCGAAGCCATGGGCAAAAATGTATTCTAAATCACAATTGAAATGTAACTAAAAGAACGTCAATGGCAGAGCACAGATATAAACAAGTCTGAATTCAAAATCAGTGTTGGAGCAGAAAACAATGCATAAATGCCATCTGTTGGCAGGAATTTGAAATAAGAACATCTAAATATACTTTATTATGTTATTTTTTGTTTTCAATGATTTCATGATATATATATATATATATATAGTATACATAATATTATTTGTAAATTTATTTAAATATGATTTTATATGTTTATTGTTATTTTAGTGTTTGACATCTCTAATATTTTTAACAGCTGATGTAAACCCATGTAAAACAAGCTAATGCAAATTATATTTTTCCATATAATATTTAAGAAAAACCGATGTATCTTTTGAAAATGACTTAACTCTAAACGACTTAAGGAGAGGTATCACCTGGGTCAGGGTGGACCTGGGAACACCAGCAATTAAGAGCTGGTTCCATGCTCCTCAAAACCTCCTAATCAAAGGCCTTGTTGGTGAATATAGTTTATCATCTTATCCAGGATGTGGATGTAGTTTATTGTCTTACCCAGGATGCTCTATTTTTAGCATTGACAAAAAAGTTTGGTAAAATTTTGGGGCAAACAACATTTGCATTCACTTTTGTGAAACAGACATCTGAAATCATGTTGCAATGGTGGAAGTATTAAGAATCAAGAAAATTTTATTGTGAACAAAGAAAAGTGTGCTCACCTGCTATTGATCCTCCCCTGTGACTGAATGCTAGACAATTTGCTCACGGATGAAGAAGAAATTTTTGAGGCAACAGAGATGATGAGAATACCATGGATGTATTGAATTTTGGGGGGACACATAGTGAGAAAAAAGGATTGGAGAATTTGATCCTCACAGGACATATTAAGGGAAAAAGAGACAGCAGGAAACAATGAGTAACCTACGTAATGAGCTTGTGTAAATGGTCTGCAAAACAAGGAGTGGGAAGCATAGCAAAAACAAAAAACATTGCTTAGAGCTACCAAGGATAGGAGGTTGTGGAGAGGCATGAATCTCCATATCTTAAAGGTACACAGTACATAAAACAAAAAGACCCTTTTAAACCATTTATACAATACCCATTGTTCTAAAAATGGGATGGTGGCCATTAATGGGTTGTAGGTAGAAATTTGTAATTAATAAAGGATTTAAAAAAAAAAAAAATCCCTCAGCTGCGTTAGAAAGCTTCACACACCACCCCTTACACATTAAAAAAAAAAAACACTACTGGTATGCCGCATTAGATAGTTTAAGAAGCACTGCTCTCTAAATTAAATAATTCTTTTGTTTTTTATTTGTTTAATAATGCTCTGCAAAAGTTGAAATAAAAAAGTTATTTTTAAGATATGAAGGCAGACAATAAATTAAAAACAAAAAAACAACTTCCGTTCAGGTGATATTTTTAATCAGTAGACGTTTCACTTTAGGCTGTGGCAAACGACTTTTCTGTGGACAAAAGAAACTTAAAAAAAAACTCTTCTCCATAAATTGGAATCAAGTAAGGTTTTATTCAAGAGATTTTTCTTTTTATTATAATATTCAAGTCGTATTTAAAAATCACATATTTATCTGATATAATATTATAACAGTTATATAAAAATTGTAATAATAATTATTATTATTCCTTTTTTTTTAAAGTTTACCAAGAAAGAAAAATAAAGATTGCCAGCTGTGATTTAAAAAAAAAAAAAAAAAAAAAAAAATGTTCCGGTCTGGTCAACTTCCGTTCGCATTGCGCCTGCGCAGTCCGTTTCTTGTCTTCCTTGCCATTTTCTCGTATTCAGTTATTGTTGCAAGTTCTGATCCAGCTGAAACAAACATGCCGTCTGCCGTCGTCATTCTTGCCGAGGGAGCCGAAGAGATGGAGGCTGTCATTACCATCGATGTTTTGCGGAGGGGTGGAGTATGTTTATTTTGGATTTCTACATATTTAAACAAAATTAATGTAATTCTTCTCCCTTTGTCGTTATTTTGTCGACCTTGACCTTTATCTAAATTCAAGAAAGTCAAGGTCGACAAAATTTCACGGCGAGTAAAAAAGAAAACGAAACTTAAAAAAAATACAACGAATAACGATTATTTAAAAGAAAAATATACGATAAGTAAGTGAAATGTCATTTGATTTGTGGCAGAAAATGAGCAAAATAATTTAATGATTTAAATTATTATATCAAATAAAAATAATTTTAATTATAAATGATTTATTTTTTTAATACAAATGAAGATTTGAAGACATACGTGATTGTGATATAACTTGAAAATAAGAAAAGTAAAAAAATCATTTCCAAGACAGCATCTCCCTAGTGTCAGTGGTATGTTGTTTTTGTTTTTTAAGCTTAATTAAATTTTATTAGCAATAATAAAATGCGACCTTGAGTTGCGGAGGTACCGCCACAAATTCGCGATAGATTTTTAAAAAAGACTTATTTAGAAAAAAAAAAAAATGACAGAACTTTCTTGAAACTTTCATTGAAAGCTAAACGTTTCAAATTCTAGAAATCAAAACACTGCGGTGTATTTAAAGTAGAAATTAAAATGAATTTTGTTTTAGTCAATTATTATTTATTATTTACTTGTTTTATCTATTTATTTTTTGCGTTTAAAAAAAAAATACCAAAATTTTCTAAAAATAATAATTTAAAAAATAAATTGATTCATTTGTGAATAAGTTCTGAAAGTTTCATTAAAATCCAACAAATATTTGATTTTTGCAAGAATTTCGAAATTAATGTGTTATTTCTTTTTTTATCGGAAAAGAAGGTGCAAAAACTGCAGCAAAAATGTCCATTATTACCAGATCTGTTTCACACCGTTGATGCATAAAAAATAAGATTTTTAAACCCAAATTACAAACATGTTAGAAAGGAGTGTAAAACAGTTTTTAAAATAATTAAAAATGGTCTTTCTTATCTCTGACTATCCTTCTACGTAATGCTTTTATTTTTTTTGTAACTATTTTTATATCTACCGTGAAACATTACATACTAATTATTTGTAAAATTTGAGTCGGGATCTCAGGCAGAAGGGTTAATTAAAATTGTTCAGGAACTCAGAGCTCAAAGGGTTAAAAATGGAAAGCCATTTCCAAATTTATGAAACAGTACTGTTTTGTTACTTTGTATTATTGTCGATTCGTAAATTTACTTTTTCATTAACATTGTCATTATCATTGCATTACGTGCATGAAAGCAATAAAGAATTTTAAACGATTTTTGAAGTATTTAATTTAAGTTAATGAAAAAAATTTTAAAAATGGGGGGAAAAAAATTTTTTAAAAATACATTATACATCGAAATTTTTATTTCTTGACAAAATAATGTCCTTCTTAACGTATTTACAAAAACAGGTGAAAGCTTTTCTAATTAATTAATGTCATACTTTTTTACATTTTTTTTTTTTTTTTTTTTTTATAATTCAAAGCAGATTTTCTATGAAACCGGGTACTGTTTTACAAAAAAAAAAAAAACCCCAAAAAACTGGTCATTTACTTTCTACAAGGAGTCCTGTTTATAACTAATAAAACAAATCCCGCGCGGGAAGATTTAATTTCTCGAAATTTCATGAAAATATGTAAGTGGGTGGAAACCTGTTAAAAAAAACAACTTTTTAACTAACAAGATTTTCTGAAAAAAAGCTTTTTCAAAAATAATTTCATTCATTTCTGAATAAGTCCTGAAAGTTTCATTAAAATCCGACAATTATTTGATTTTTGCAAGAATTTCCTAATTAACGTGTGTCTTCCTCGGGAAATGCGCAAAATAAAACAAACCTTTTTTAGTCTTCTCGCACTGTCGTAAAAAAAAAAAAAAAATTTAACCAAAATTTTCTACGTCCTAGAAAGGAGTAAAAAATTAAAAAAATACTTTGGTCTTTCCTCTTCATAACAAAAAAACATAGAGACAAAATTGTTTCCGTTGATTTATGGACCTTTTTTTATTCAACGTGATATGCTGCTTTTTTATGTGACCTAATGGAGAAACAATGGATGAACTAAAAAACTTGTTTTTATTATTGTGCTGAAAAAAAAGGCAGATTTACTGCAGTGGGATGCGGGTTCTTTATGAAGGTGTTTGGGTACTTTAAGTAATTTAATTTAAAAAGAAAAAAGCTCACTTTATTGAGTAACAAAGCATTTACAACAAACAAGATCTTACAAATCAAATGTGTGCATTTGTCCTTGTAGCTTTTCTTTTTTTTTTTTAAACAATTTAATTATGTATGAAACGGATGATCAAATTATTTGCATCATTAAAATATTTTAATATTACTTTTGACTTTTTAAAAAAATTTTTTAATAATTATTCATTTTTCAAAAGTATCTTCCCACTCATAAATATTGGTGGCAGAATTAACTTTTAACTCGAGTAACTTATTTTTTTTATATGAATGATAACTTGTAGAAATTTGGTCACTTCAGTCTAAAAATGTTGATTATAATTAGATATTTAATTTAACACAGTTTACAGTACATTTGTCAATGTTTTCAATTTAGTTGAAATGTAGATTTTGTGGTTAATTTTTTTTACCCCCTCCCCCCATATTCTCAGATATTTTTGACTTAATCAAAATTTACAAACTTGTAAAAACTTTTGTCTGTATTTAGTTAACAAGAATTTTTGTTACTGGAAATATACTATGACAAGCAAATAAGAGCTTTTCTTTTTTTTTTATGTGGTCAGACTAAATATTTTAATATAGAAGAAATTCTGTTTGCATGGATTGGAAAATATACTTGGAATAAGTTTACAAAAGCATGTACATAAAAAGTCCTTTTCATTTCTCTATCCAGGATTTCTACTTTTTGAATTCAACAGAGGTTGAAAACTTTTAATGAAGTATTTTTCAATTTTAGTAAACACATCAACAAATGAACTCTCGTGGCTTAGAGATTGATTTCTTCTGTCAGTTGTCACAGAAATCCCAAAATACTATTTTCTAGAAATATATGGTTTCATGATTTGTATTAAAAATATAATTAACTTCAATTTTAGCAATATCATTACTTCTACATTGTCTGTTTTGTTTCTCTTCTTTTGAGAATAGCTAATGTTGTAAGGCTAGAAAAGATGTTTTTCTTTATTGCATGCTACAATATTTCTGGTATGACAATAATAGCAAATAATTTGAATAGTCCTGTTCTCACTGCTGTAATATGGCTACCCTGTGCCTTTTCTATAAATACTTACATGGTAATTGTTTGGATGAGCTTTTCTCTTTGGTGCCACATTTTCAGATTTAAACACAGTACTAGATTGGCAGCTAGGTCCCATAATTTTACTGTTGTATTTGCCAATTGGAAGTTGTATGCCAATTGTTTCTTCTCTTACACTTCTAGTTTGTGGAACTTTCCTGTCAACTAGGATCTTAAAAATCTTAAATGCAGTGTCAATTGTCCTCTTCTGTCTCCTTGAATCCTGTTCTTCTATTGTCCTCTTTTTTTTCTTTCACACTCAGTAACCTCTTGCAGTGGCTTTTATCCCCTTGGGGTGAAATGATTTTTAAAAAAATGGTTGATTTAATATTACAAGCATTTTACTTGAAAATTCACTTGACTCTATTGGTTAGAATTTATCTATTGGTGTTGTCGATGAAAATAAGTTATCAGGTTACAAAAGTCTTGTCAGGTGGTCATATTTTCTTAAAGATTAGAAAATTTTCAAATAGTTGTCATATTTGAGCATACCAACCAAGACTGACCACAGTGTAGATCTTGGGAGTCATTGTGAAATTTATAATCTTTTCATTAGCTGCACATAGTATGTACTTTGCCTGGGCTACATACAGTTTTTCATGGCTTTCCCGAAGGTATTTATGTGCAAGTGAATGTAATGAACCTGACTGGAATTGGAACACTGCTATCCATTACACCAGCTGCCTATCCTAATTTGACCATAAGTCAACAGATTTGAAATTCTTCTCTAAATTTCTAGGATGAAGAGTTGCCATTTACACTATTTATATTCAGACTATTGTCCTCATCTTCGTTGTTATCAAGTTTCGGGTATCATACCCTCTGGTCTTCCTCAGGTGTATATTAATCTGGGTAACCTACAGGGAATTCTGAACTGAACCCTTTATTTAAACTGCATTATTCACTACTTTCCTTTCACTTCATTTTTTTTTTTTTTTTTTTTAAGGCTCCTCTATTGCACTACTTAATTTCAGTCATGATCATTTTCTGTTGCCATAGCAGGATATGACAACACAACTGCAAAATTCAAAAATGCTATTATTCATTTGTCTGAATCATTTTGCAGTGGCAGGATAAAATTTTTGCTTTGTAAATAAAATCACCTCCAGTATGTTAAAGGTTAATCTATGGGTGTAGATTATTCTTGTTCTTCTGCCCACGTCTAGAGATCTCTAGTTCTTATTAGTACTGCTCCCTCATTGCTTGCCCAGTTTACATGGTCCGAGTACACATTGCCAGATCTTCACATACACCTGATGAAGGCTGGAAGGCATGTTGTCATTACAAAACAAAGATGAGAACAAAAGTCCATATGTAAATAACAGTAATGTTTAAGTTTTTCATTCTAAATTGAATTTTTCCCCTTAACTCTGCGTCTTGCTTAGTTTTCATTTGTTTTTGTTTTTTTAATTTCTTTACTCCTTACAGGTTAATGTAACTGTTGCAGGACTTGCCGGAGCTGGTGAAGTGAAATGCAGCCGGGATGTTGTTATTAAGCCAGACACAAGTCTTGATGCTGTATCCAGTCAGTATGATGCAGTTATAATACCTGGTGGTCTGAAAGGATCCCAGTTAATTGGAGAGGTAAGTGTTAAAAGTAATCTGATTCCAAAGGCAAAAATGGTAGACAAATGAAGAGCATCGCAATGCATATGTCCCTTTTCTTTTCCCTTTTTTAATTATATACTAACTAAATGTTGTGGGTTTTTGCTGTTACGATGAACTGTTCTTGGACTGACAGTAAAAAATCACTTGCTCCTCTTGTGAATGTATTTTTTATTCAATTGATACTGTAACAGAAGACTTACCAGATTGAGAGCACTGTCCTGGGTAAGACAATAAACTACATACGGCAGCAAGGCCTCTGATTAGGAGGTTTTGAGGAGCATGGAATCACCTCTTAATTGCTGGTGTTCCTAGGTCCACCCTGACCCAGGTTGGTAGCACCTGTTAGGGTCCCAGCTATGGGCAAATAGTTACCCCCCCCCAAACTGGGGTCAAAACATATAAAAATAGGTTTTAATACCAGCAATACATTTTTGGGAAAAAGAATATTACCAGAAATACTTTATGAAAAAATATTACCAGCAATAAAAATCTTGTCGTCACTAAATAATCCATTGAGGTTGATATGCTGTAAAACAAACCAAAACCAGATTGAGCACTCCTGGTATCGCTCAACTGCTGACCACTTGTACATGATGGCCTGAGAGCCATCATGTATAAGTGGCAAGAGGTGATATCACAATAGGTGAGAATAGAATAATTTAGTGATTATTTAAGGAAGTAGATTGTTTCTATATTTTTTTTCTCTTCCTTGATATTCTAGTTGGTGAGTTAAAAAAAAAAAAAAAAAAAAAGAAAGAAATCATTAGTTTTTCTTCAGTCCTTTCCTATCTATTTCCTTCTAATTGGTTACATGTTTTTTTTTGCTGAGCCTAAAGATAAAAAAATGTTTGCATGACATTTGCATACAAAATCCTTGTAGAATCGCTAAGGTTTTTGTCTTGGTCATTGAAGATGAGCTTCCTTTTCATGGAGTATTTAAGAATTAGTCGGCTTCCTCTGTAAATATCTATTTTAACAAATGGTTATCCTTGACACTGTGTTCCTCACAGCTCTCATTTGTCCCATTTTATAATATTGGGGCTTCATGTTCATCATTTACCTATATCAAGTTTTTCTTATTTTAATTTTTTTTTTATCTTGATAAGGTCAAGAGTCTTAAATATAGCTTTACAACACAGATTCAATATCTGCAAATAGATAAAGAACATTGGAGTCTTATTTTTAAAGTGTTCCTTTTTCTTTATAGAACCAAACCTTCTTTCTTATCTTGTTATGAAGGCCATTAAAAAAGCAGCAACCTTGTTTCATTTGATAAAACTTGTTGTTCAATATGTACATTTGAAAATATTGATGAGACAATACTTTTGCTTGATACAAAATTTTTTTTTTTTTTTTAAATATGGACAAATAATTTTTATGTATTACTAGCTTAAAAGCTGCCCTATTGGCTGCCATTTAAGCTAGCTCCTGTGGAGAGCTCTTGATTGAGCCTTTGGCTTGTTCAGGTGTTTAAGAGTCCCTAAGTCTTTGCATATTCTCAGCATTGGAAGCTCTCCTGTCTGCCATTTGTTCTGGGGCTTTCTTTTCCTCACTGCAGCCTTGGCTCTTTCCATTGCAAACAGTTGGAGATTTCTTTTTGCAAGGCATACTGCTGCCATATGCGATAGGCAACAATAAACTACAGAACAAATCAAAATTGATCGCTGCATTTAAGTATTGCATTAATATTTAAGCTTACCTTCTAAAAGTCCAATAATTCTTCTGCTGCCACTTAATTTAAAGACAATTTCATGTACGTAGGTCCTTACTTTCCATACAGATATTTTTAATTCATGGTTGACTTTTGCTGCATTTTACAATTAATTTTGATTATTCCCAAATTTATTTCCAAGTTATAAAAATTGTTATTGTACAAAAAAAATTGTTTCAGAAAAATTGTGAAAAAAATCACTGAAAACAATCGCAGTAATGAAAACTTGGGAATCCAAAATTTCAGGATTATGTGTTTAGGCCTGGAATGTTTTTAATTTGCTCATGGAATTGGTCTTATTCCAAAATGGTATGAGATGCTGGATTATGACTTCTAGGAGTAAAATTGAAAAAGTGTGACACTGACATTTGCATTTGTTTATATAGATAATATATACAGTGGGGGGAAATAAATATTCGTACACATGAAAAACTGTATTTTTATAAATGTAAAAGCCTTAACTAAAACAAATTTTGATACATTTTATGTGTAAAGATACATTTTATTAAAAAATAGTAATAAACTTTATTCTTATTCTAACAGAAATGAATCCATTTTTTTCATTTTTAACTGATGAAAAAAGTATTCGTACAAAACAAAAAAAGCATATTAACTTAATTTAATACTTTGTGGAATATCCTTTGAGTTCAACAGCTACCAGTCTATTCCTGTACGTCTCAACTAATGATTTGCACACATTGAGTGGTATTTTGTCCCATTCTTCTTGGCATATTGTCTTCAAATTCTTGATATTGGTGCTCTTTTTCCCAATTTGAATTTTCAAATATCGCCATAAATTCTTGATTGGGTTCAAGTCTGGGGACTGACTTTGCAAGACATTAATGTTACTTTCAGCTAACCATTTCCTTGTAGATCTAGCGGTATGCTTAGGATCATTATCCAGTTGGAAAACCCAATCAGGTGGTAGCCGAAGTCTCTCAACAGAACGCATTAAATTGTCTTGCAGGATTTTCTCATATCTCTCGGCATTCATCTTGCCATCTATTGATATTCTGCCAACACCTTTTGCAGAAAAACAGCCCCAGATCATGATATTGCCACCACCAAACTTTACAGTTGGCAACGTGTTCTTTGGTACGTAGGCTTCACCGTTCTTCCTCCACACATGATTTCAATAATTATGACCAAACAACTCTATTTTAGTTTCATCTGTCCATAGTACTTTTTCCCAAAACAAATATTCTTTATCCTTATGCTTGCTAACGAATTTTAGCCTAGCATTTCTGTGTCATTTCAAGAGGAGTGGAGTCTTCCTTGGGATGCGTGATTTTAGACTGTTTTTGTGTAGTTCATTACTTATTGTATGCGTGATTACTTTAATCCCTAATGCACGCAGATGTTCCTGCAGCTCTTCTTGGGTAACCTGTGGATTTTGTTGGATCTGGCGTCCTAATATCCTTGCTGATCTTAAAGAAATCTTCCTCGGAGCACCTGTTCATCTTTGGTTTTCAACGCTGTTACAAGTTTAAACCTTGCAATGAATAAAGCAATTGTAGTAAAAGGAATATTCAGGTTGTTAGAAATCGTTCTGTAACTGTTTCCATCTTTCCAAAGAGACAAAATGTGTTGTTTTTGTGAAATAGTCAATTCTTTACCTTTAGGCATTATTAGAACCTTCTTGTAAGACTAGAAATTGCAGAATGCTCTGATAATGGCTAATAGCATTAACTATAATTACTCATAACATTACTGGAGCATTCTAGAATATACTTTTTTCATAACTAATTGATTATTTTATTCTAATAATTTGATTTGTATGAATACTTTTTTCACCAGTTAGAATTTAAAAAAAAATGCATTAATTTCTGTTAGAATAAGAATTAAGTTTATTATTATTTTTTTTTTAATAGTATGTGTCTTTATGCATAAAATGTGCCGAGATTTGTTTTATTTAAGGCTTTTACATTTTATAACAATACAATTTTTTCAAGTGTATGAATATTTATTTCTCCCCACTGTATGTCATAAATGTCTTTTATTTAACCATAATGTTGAAATTTTTTTTTTCTTCCCCACAGTCTCCTGTTGCAAAGACTCTTCTCCAGGAACAAGAGAAACGAGGAGCATACATTGCTGCTATTTGTGCAGGTAGGGTGTTTTTATCCACCCACCTCTCTCTCTCATATATATATATATATATATATATAAATTTGTATATTTAGGCAGCAATCCTTCCTTTATGCATGTTTCATTAAAAACGACAGACAAGGTACTATGGTTGAGCTTTTTATTTAATTTTTCTTGTGTTCTGACAAGAGCTTTCTTTTCTGGACAAAGAGCGTGTAAGAACTGTCCGAATGTTCACAGTTCCATCAGAACACATTTAAACACACACTCAGATTTACCCGACACTATTAGGAACATACTAGTAGAAAACACAAATATATTAACTGCACCCACTTGCAAAAAAAGACTAAAAATAATGGAAGCTCTAATAATAAAAAAGAAAAAGCCAACCCTTAACAATATTAACTATGAACAAAGCCACAATGTGCTAACTGTATTCGGAAACTAAAAACATCACTACCACACACTAAACACACACACTCTACTAAGCTGATAATTGAATCATCCTTGATAATGGCTAAAGGTATAGCCGAAAGCACTCGGAAACACAGAACATTCGGACAGTTCTTACACACTCTTTGTCCAGAAAAGAAAGCTCTTGTCAGAACACAAGAAAAATTAAATAAAAAGCTCAACCGTAGTACCTTGTCTGTCATTTTTAATGAAACACATATATATATATATATATATATATATATATATATATATATATGTAATGTATGGGGTGTTGCAGCAAAATTGTCCAATTGTTAGATAAAGCCTTGGACTGTTGTATCTTAGAAATGATCAAAGATGATATCTTACTGGAATTCTCAGAGGTTTTTAAAGCACGATTGGACTCTACTTTGAACAATAAGAATATATTTAGCTCTAAGTTGAAATGATGATCCCTCTTCCTGTTGTGATCTACTGATTCAGTTTTCCTCTCTTCTGTTCCCTCTTTTTAAGACTTCTCTTGATGGTTCTTGAATGGACTTTGAAGATGGGAGCCAGAGTTTGAATGTCAGTACCATTACTGAAGGCCTGAATGATCCTTTTCTTCTCACCATTACTAAGTTGGAAAGATTATGGGTCTGATACAAAATGATTTTAACATGTTCTCTTTCTATCTGAACAACTCGAAGGGTTTTTCAGTGATTCTTACGCCAAGTGGTGTCAAGATGGCTAAATGTCTTATCTGAAAACAAGAAACTCAACTAGTTTAGTGTTTGTGTTTGTGTTTTTTTTTCTTAAACATTTTGTGGGATTGATAATTATATCATTACACGATTTGGAAAATTTGCTGTTACACTTGGTATATATGTATATATGACCCCAGCACTTTTAAAAAATTTTTTTTTATTCATCAGTGAGACCTTTGTAGACACTTGACAAATTAATTATTCTATCCTGCCCCATCCTCTCACTTAATCTGGGGTTATCGTCATTTGTCCCCTCTCTTGACTATAAATCAAACAAGAGAATGGAATTTTCTTTTCCTCCTTTTTATGATTTACATCTTTTCCTTTATCACATGTACTTGTTCTAATTTAACAAATTATAATCCAATGGTATTACAAAGAAGATCAATTTTTTGCTTGTTTCATTTATCCTTTCCCAATGACTATTGTCTTTTCATACTTTAGCAGCAGTGCCAGAGATTTCTGGCATTGGTAATCTGAGAACAAATCATTTTGATCTTGTGTTCTCTTCCTCATAAACCCTAAGAGTCTCTCTAAATATTGGAGGTGTTAATATCATACAAGCTTGAGACTTAATAATTCCTAACTTTTAATCCTTTTAGCCCTGACCACCGCTTTACCGGTGGTAGAGAAAAATGACTTGATGTCCAGCCACCGGTTGAATGGTGGGTAACTATTTTTATATCTACCGTGAAACATTACATACCAATTATTTGTGCATTTTAACTCAGGAGCTCAGGCAGAAGGGTTAAAATTGTTCAGGAATGCAGGGCTCAAAAAAGGTTAAGATCAGCAAAAACTAAAACCAAATTGAGAACTACAGGAAAAAAGTTTTCATATTCATGTTTTAACAGGTGGGAGGGGAAAATATGCTGATGACAAATATTTACTTGTCTTAATAGCAGGTCTGACAAAGTAAAACTGGTAGCTGCTCTTGAAAATGACCTTCAAAACAAAATTGCTTTCATTTAATCATCATAAAGAACCTTTCCTGCCTTCCAAGAGAGCAACTCTTTGTGCTTTGGGCTCATGTTTTTCACTAATGGAGTGATTATATTGAATCGTATATTGAATCGGTTGCTAAGAAAATTAGTTTGTGTCATGCCTGAAAATATCTTGCACATTTATAAATTTACCATGTCTGTGCATTGAAAATTGCTGCCATATCTGGTCTGTTGTTTCTGCTGTATTATCGAGATTCTTTGACAAAATCCAAAGACTGGTCTATAATGTAATCAATCCTGACCTGGCTTCCCTGATTTTTCTACAAATATTTTCATGACAGTTTTTCTGATAAAGTTTCCTTCTTGCTGTCCAGACTGCATGAATTTAAGCATACAACTAGATTGGCACCAAGGTCTCACCATTTTGCTAGTAACCTCTTTGTGGCATTATCACCTTACTTGGGGTGAAATGATTTAAAAAAAAAAAAAAAAAAAATTAGTATCAAGTGTTGGCTAAAATTAACTTCTTTTTCTCCATTGTGGTGATTGTGGGATGTACATTAGAAAATTTTCTTTTGCTATTGTTTGTTTAAAATAAACAAATCCATAGATTTTAAAATTTTGTAAAGATGTTGAGTCAGTAAAAATCAAAACTTTTTTTCTTCCAGGTCCAAAAGCTTTGATGAGTCATGGTATTTTTAAGGGCAAAAATCTGACATCTTACCCAGCTTTTAAGGAAGATCTCTCTTCAGGTAAGCAGTTTTTATTTTCTTTTCTTTTAGTATGAAAACTTTAATTATTGGAAGTTTGCAGCTATTATTTAGGAATGAAGATTAACATTTTTCCTACTGCATTTGCCATTTTTAGTGGTGCTGTAAATTAGAAAAAAAAGCTGTTTTCTTGAGTAATGTTACTATGTATATTTAATATTATTGGTCATATCAAACTAGTAATTGACATTTTAAACCAAGTAAAAAATGGATTTATTGTGTCTTGAATTTCCTTCATGGTTAATGTTAATTTTTTTTTTTTTTTTTTTTTTTTTTTTAAAGGCGGCTATCAATACAGTGAACAAAGAGTTGTGGTAGATGACAAATTGATTACAAGCCGTGGACCTGGAACTGCCTTTGAATTTGCTTTGGCCATTGTCAGTGCTTTGGCTGGCAAGGAAAAAGCCGATTCTCTTGTGGCTCCAATGCTTATAAAAAATGTGAATCCATTTTTCCAATCATTTTTTTTTCTCCTTCAAAAGAAAAGTAAAATCTTGTTTTGGAGAGTTTTCCAGAATAAACCAGAATCCTTCAAGTACAACTGGTGCTATTAAAATGAAAGAAATGCTAACCAGTGGGATATATATATATATATATATATATATATATATTTTTTTTTCTTCAACTGAAAGAGTTGGGAATATTTTTTTTCTTGCCTTTTGAATAGACCTAAACTTTTTATTAGGCTGGCAAAAGAAACAATGTTATATTATCTGATGTGGTTTCTGTATTAAAATCTTTGCTAACAAAGTATTTGCTTGTGTGTTTTTTTGTTTTTTTCCCTCCCCATTTCTCTACTTTCTCCTCTGTATAACACAACAAAACAGGAATTTCACTTGGGTAAACCTTATAGTAACAGTTATCTTATAACACTGACAACTCAAGGTTAGCTGCCACTTACACCCAGTAGTTTGGTCCTCAGGGTCTTAGCCTGTGGTTAAAAGCGTCATCCTAACTGTGCTGGTCCAAGCTGCTTCGATTCACGCCAACTCTGCCCATTTTGTGTTCATGATCTCAGAGCAGTGGAAGACTGAATGTTGTAATTGCACAACAAAAAATAAAACAAAAGATCCATGGGGGTTAATCTTCAATTGGTTTATATAGCTCTTGGTACAGCAAAAAAAAAATTAACCCTTCCAGCATTAGTCTCTATAGTGATATTGCTTCAATTAACTTGGGTTCAAAGTTCTTCAAGATCAGAAAATCTGGTGGCAGCTGATGTAGATGCCACACACAGGCATTTGATGTGGGACTCTCTGCCCAAGTCTCTAAGCTCCCAAAGCCATTTGCACTTAAATCCAAAGGGTTCTAAGAATTCGAGGATCCCCTCTATTTAGTGCTTTCTTGATCAATTTTCTAAATTTGGATAATTATTCATTTTCCTTGGGAATAGTCAGAGAGATTGCTCCTCCCCTAACTTTAACCGGCTTCACTTCACATCTTGCACCACCACTCCATGCAGGTGGTGCTAAATTTTGTCTCTTCTTCCTCAGTATTCTAACTCTGCCCACCTCATGGCTTTCCTTTCATAACTGTCTTTGACAAATCTAATTTTTAAAGTGAATTCTCAGACCAGCAAGAACACTTACCATATCACCCTCTTGCTCTCTTATAAATATGTTTTTCTAATTTCTCAAAAAAGAGAGCAAGCCATTTCCCCAAATCTGTTTTCATCTGCATGCCAGACTCTTCATAGTTAAGACTAAATTCTTGGTGCATCGTTCTAATTTGTACGGGTGAGACAATCCAGACATACAAAGACTGAAAACCTTGTGGATCATGGAAAGTAATATGAATAGGATTCAGTCTTTATGTCTAAGACAATATCTTTCAAGCTACTTAATTTTATTCTGTCAGATGAAATGGATATTTTAGGACCTTGTTTTACTACACCAGATTTTTTTCTTTTGACTTCTAAACATAAAGTCAGATATGTATAACAGACACAAAATAGAGAAACTAGTTTACATAAAAAAAAAATATTCAAAGAAAAACCCTGCAATATTAAAATTGTACAGTCAGCAATAATAAAAAGGTTGTTAAACTTAAATGCAGAGACTTTTTATTACTATTTCATATTTGTTTGCTAAGCACAATTTGTTTTCATTCTAGTCTGTCCCTATTCAAAACATACTCCAAACATACCCTGAATTATTCAACTTCTTTCTTGATAGTCCCTTTTCTCTTTAGGTCATGTTGATAGCAAAACTACACCCACACAATCTGGTCCTTAAGAAGTGGTATTTGGTGAACTCTAGAGATGTTTGTATTGACATTAATCCCTCCCTGCAAAACAATTAGCATATACTCTTGGGTGAGAATTACAATCATGACACCCGTTACCTTGATATAACAAATGTCATTTAACAATTGACCCATTTTATAAAATTTCAGTAAATTTTCTTCTATCATTTACTGCAATTTTAAACTGGGTATCTATAGTCAGATGAACTGAAAGTTGCAAGAAAATTGTTTTTTTTTCTTTCGAGAAGCAAATTTCCAAAAGAGCAGATGCTAAGAGTCTTGGAGAGTATTTTATCACCACTATGGGCCAGTAAGGTCAGATAATAGTATTTTGAAAGAGGTTGAGGTTAGTGACAATAAGCTGGAAGTGGCTAGGGACTCAAAAAGTTCTTAAAACCTTTAAGTGATTGGGAAATTCGATGCTGACTATGGAATAAGTTAGAGCATGGTTAGACACAATAGTGCAAGAAAACTCCAAGAGAGAAACAATTCAGTTAAATGTAGACACCAGCATTATTTTATTAAATCATTTCACCCCAAGCAAGGCAAATAAAAGCTACAAAGGGTCACCGAGATTGATTATCCTCTCCATAAATTTTTGAAGATTTCGGTTGACAGGAAAGCTAGAATTCCACAAGGGTGATAAAACTATTAGCATAGGACTTGTGGTTACCGCTAGTAATCTCAAGTGAAATTATAAGACCTAGCTGCCATCTAATACTATGCTTAAATCCAAAGTTATGATACCAAAGTGGAAAGCATGTCAGGACAATTGTAAAAATATTCATGGGAATGTGACTAAAGCCTGGATGTCAGGATTGATATGTTGATCTTTCAGATTTTGACAATCTTGACATTTATTGCCAAAACAGAAGACCAGTTGTAGCAGAAATATTTGATGCACAGAAAAATGTGCAAGATAAATTCTGGCAAGAAAAGCATAGTTCCAGCCATGAAGTCATTAAAAAAACACTACAAAATGGACAATGTCTGACAATTATTTTAACTTTGCCATAAATATTTTTGTATATATAAAGTTTGTAATAAACAGTATTAACAACATTTACTGACCTGAACATCCGAGAAATCTCAGAAAGTACGAGTCCTCTGACAAGAATCGAACCTGTATCTCAACGGAACCATCATATAGCCTGAGGTGCTATACCAGTTTAGCTATGAAGGAGTGTCTGATTAAAAGCAGTAAAATTGACCTTGCTAAAGTAAAATTTTCCATGAATTGATCTTAGATATGCTTCTAGCAGATATGATTGTTTGAGAGAATTGATAGAAAATTGTAGTTTAAAAGCAGTAAAATTAATCCTGCTAACTAGAAGCTCCTCTGTAGCTAAACTGGTATAGCATGTCAGGCTATATGATGGTTCTGTGTAGGATACAGGTTCGATACCTGTCGGAGAAATGTAGTTAATACTGTTTATTACAAATGGATCATTTACTTAAATATTTGTGTGCGCATATATATATAAAACCTATGACAATAAAATACATTAAAACCTGTTTTACCTAAATTTGAAAAGAAGGTTAGATGCCACACCTGTGACAAAGAGATAGTAAGGAGCAGGTATCTTTTGTATAGGGCATGGTCAATTAAGAACGTGACTAAAAGTACATTATTGAGCCAAAGTACTAAGTGTGTGACAGAGAAAGGCTTCTTTTTTTTCTTTTTTTGGTTGTAGAATTTGCAGGCTTGAGTTCTAAGAGCACTTTTTTTTTCCCTCAATACATTGTATGAAAGAAAGAAGCAAACTACACAAGTTTATCCCCATAAATACTAAAAAAAAAAAAAAATTACTTCCAATATTTCAATTTAAGAGATCTGCCTCACACGCCTTAGAATATAGTGGGGTAGGGATGAATAAACGCACTATACACGGAGGAGGATTGAAACTCATGAATAAACAGGGGCAGGGTTATGAAAATAAAAGCCATCGAACCAATCCAAATTTCATCTTTAAAAAAAAAAAAAAAAAAAAATTTTTTTTTCACCTACCCCTCTCTGTAAATCAAGTATAAAAAGAAGATCCAACCCAGCCCCCCACCCCAAACTGCCACTTTACTGAATATACTATCATGTAGTTAGTTGCTTTCCTGAACATTTATCTACATCTCATTTATCAGTAACCCTCTGCCTTGAATGACTCCCAAGCCTTGTACTGGGTGAACTCAGAATAAAAAAAAAAAAAAAAAAAAAAAAAAATGAAGGCATGTTAGGCCTATGGGGTCAACATGAAAATTTGTATGAGATCACATTTTCTCTTCGTATTCCCTTTTGCCCTGCTAGAAATAGGTATGCGATAACAAGGCAGCAGTTGGGGGTGGAGACTGGTCTCAGTTTGTATCATTCCCAAGTATATCTTAAAATGATCCAACTGCTGTCTCTCTCTCACCTATTTGTTTCATGATCTGATATATTCATAAAGTCAATATTTTGCAGAGGGGTGTTTAAAGGAGGACTTTAAAAACATGGAAATTGGTTTGAATGGTGGGAGTTAATGGATTTGTAGACAGACTTGATTAATGTTAAGCCAGGAGTTCTCAATGCGGTCGATATTAGCACCTGGGGAGAGATGGTACTATCCAGGGCGTTGATAAAGTTCTGAACAAAAGTTTATGATTACCTACATATTTTATGAAGTGATTTGTCATAAACAATAACGCATCTCGTCAGAGACAAAATTGAAAATGTAAAGCTAAAATGAATCTTATCAAGAAACAACAATGGAGGAAAAATACAAAGGAATTTCTACCCTTATATAATATATTTTTTTGTTGTTACATACATGGGGTGTTAACAAGGATTTCAAGAAGGGGTTGTTGGCCTAAAATAAAGTTTGAGGTTAAACAAAAAGGGATTATAAGATCCATTTAATTATGAATTAATTGGATATTATAATATCCTTTTCCTGGAAAAAAAAAAAAAAAAAAAATTGCGGAAGATGTTTTGATTTAGAACACTCTCTAGAAACAACACGACACAAATTTTCATGTCATTAATATACTCATATGAAAGTATATATATATATATATATATATATATATATATATATATATATATAGCATGAAGACAGTGAAAGAATTCTTTTTAAAAGAAAACGTCACTGCAAACTGATCTAAGTCACATCCTTTGTAACCAAATCCCGAACAAGTTGAATAAATCTTATCAAGAAAAGAAGAAAAAAAAAAAAAAACATTTAGAGCCAATATTTAAACATCTACCATGCCCGAAATCAATGCCAACTTTAGCCAAAGAGAAATGGAAGAAAGAGGATTTTTTATTTTTCTTAAAGACAGGTGGAAGAAAAAGTTTCATTTTAGTTTCTCATTTTTATATATATATATATATATATATATATATATATATATATATATATATATATATATATATATATATATATATATATATATATAAAAAATTTTTTTAAAAACCTAGCCCTCTCCTATGAACAGCACAAAGCTAACATTTAATTGTCCCAGTTTGCAATAAATTTCTTCCAATACTGACAACAAAGCCATTTTTTTGTGGGGTGGGGGAATCAGATTTTTAAAATTATCTATAATTATAGATTTATATATACAGTAGACTTGTATCAATCTGTCACACTCATAAGCACACACACATACATACATACATACATACATGAATGCATACACTAGTAAAAAGGAGCAGCCAATGAAAGTTAAGGCATTCAAAGAGGGAAGTAAGAGGCAACTACAACCCTCCTCGTCCACTGGTGTCGTTCATGACATATAAACGGTAATTCTTGTTCATCTGTTCAAGGAAAATGAACGTTAGAACTGTGTGTGGTCCAAGACGAGCATAATATGGTGTGAATCCCTTCCACAGACTGAAGAAGCCTTCACCCCGAATCACTTTGTACAAAACATCCTGCAAAAAGAAGACATTAGATAGCCATTACATTGGGATCAGGTACTTGGCGAAGGGAGGTGGGGAATTTCAGGGTTTCATTTATTGCTTCAATTATATCTTAATAACGCTTTTTTATTAACAAAATATGCAAACATCCATTTGAGACAGTTAATGCAAAAAAAAAAAAAAAAAAAGTTTTAATATTAAATGAAGCAAAAATTAAAAGAATTTTAAAAAATTCTTTACTTTCATTATTTTTCAAATATTATTTCAATAACAATTTCTTCGTTTTTTGGGGTTTTTTTTTTCTTCAAATTTTTTCCTTTGTTTTGCAAAAAAGTTTTGAAGCCTAGAAAACAATAACTGATAATATTAATTGCATTTTTGTTACATGAACTGCATCTTGCATTTTATATATGGAAAAAAAAAAGTTCACCATTTAGAATCAGTGCTGAAGTCAAAGTAAAGAGCCGAAATGCTGATTTTCAAGGCAGATGGGCCTTCCTTCACTTGATATGGGTATTTTGTGCTTGTCTGCCTTTCTTGCCGACTCGCTTCCACTCAGCTAAAGTTACTAAACACTGCAAATGCCTCAGAAAGGGTTTCGGAATTCAGCTGTGCTAGCATCATTTATACCGTTTTCTGGGCCACTATTGATAATTCGATAGTTTTAATTCAGTTTTTATATAATTTCAAAGCAAATATGTTGTAACATCCCACATTTTACATATTGGTATTGGCCAACAACATTGATAAGTAGAAAAAAAAAAAAGAAGAGGGGAAAACAATTGAAATTTTACAATCAAACCAAACAGAAAATTCTACTTACAAATGCACCTTTGTATTCAGGAACACCATCAATAACTTTCATATTTTGAATCCTGAAGAGAAACAAGGCAGCAGTGTTTAAGAAAATATCCAAAAGTGAAAAAAAAGCAATGACTACAATAATGGAACTAACTATAATGTTTTACACCACAGCTGAGTACAAGTTCACTAAGGTTTCAGTTGGTACATTTTACACCACAGCTGAATGAAAGGCTTCAGTTGGTACAGTGACGGAAAAAGCAATCTATCACCTGAGTGTACTCAGTTTATTCGGTTGGGGGACTTTGAAGAAAGAATTATTTCCAAATAGTAAAATGAAACCTCTGTGTGTGATTATATATATATATATATATATATATATATATATATATATATATAATAATGCATTTTGCCAAAGGATACTAAATATATCAAACTACTATAGTGTAACCAGATGCATGCTAACTACAAACAGAATGAAAAAAAAAATAATCAAAAGAATCTTATTTATACTAATATATCTTCCACAGATTCTAATAAAAAAAAAAAATTAATCATATATATTATATATGTTGGGTATAGGACAAGTACACTAACAAGAAGGTTTACACACCACATATCTCACCATTCATCTATTGCAAAACATCTACAACATTCCTGTCCACATTCACAATAAAAAAAATAAAAAATTACTAATCCACAACAACTATTCTACACCATGAAAACAACAAATTCAGACTACAGATCCTAGAAGCAATTTATATTAAAAAAAATTAAAGCCAGCACTGATCAAAATCTACCATGAACACTGCAGTAATGTTCTGAAATGTCTGTAAAGGAACAGTTTTTTCACACTTTAATGCACGCATGACCATGACATTATAACATGGGAAAAAAATTCCATAATGGATAATTTTTTTCACATTCTAATGAACGCTCAAGCACACTGTCAACCGTTTTGCATTGAAAGGCATAATGAAAAAAATTACGGTAATGGATAACTTGGTATAAATACTTATACTAATAAACAACACAGAGTTTTGTATTATTTGCACCTCTGAAGATGATCTTGGAAGAAGATTCAAAGTACTTGGGAAATGAAAATAAAAGAAATTTAAACAGCTATAGCACATTTCTCTCATCTTTTAACATCAATACCTGGAAGGTTATTCGGGAGTATAAACGAAATTTGTTAAAAATTAGCAGACATAATGTCTAATTTATTCAATCAGACATGCCTAAAAGAGAATTTTGCTATATATATATATATATATATATATATATATATATATATAAAAATGTGTGAGAATGTATAACAAAGAACCATGCAAGAAACTTTTTGGGACATTTCACTACTCCCCCAGCCTTTCATCAAAGGGGTTAGGACATTTCATAATCTTTGTGTCAAAAGAATTGATTTTGGGAAGTGGCCTAGGGAGACTTTGCAGTCACACAGTACTATCATATAAAAGAAAATGGATATTTCTTAATAAATAAACCTCTTGAAAATATGTTTGAAGCATATTTATCCTGAAATTGTGCATTTTCTCTAATATTTTTATTGAAAAAGAAAAAAAATTTTTTTTTTAAATAATTATAGTAATAAAATTACTTGTTTTAATATCAAAGTCAATAAATTTCAAAAATGCAACAATATTTAAAAAGCTTTGGAATTTCTTATCTAGCATATAGTTTTGTTTCTAAATAGTGCAGCACACCTCATAGGTGTGGCGGAAGAGGATAGCAGGAGAGGTGGAATGATTGAAAGACAATCAAAGATTTAGAAACAAAAAAAAAAAAAAAAAAAAAAAAAAAATTAATGTGCCAAAAATAAAAATTATTTCAAAATTTAAAATATTATCAGGGATTACTTGTAATTGCATGCATGAGCCCCAGTATAAATTTTTGCATTAGATCAAGTATTAAGAATATAGTAACTAGGGTCCATAAATTGAAGGAAAAAGTTATCTATGATAATGCTTCGAAATCGCTGTTATCTCCCTTTAATCCTATTTGGGTTTTTTTTTATTATTTTTTAAATGTATTTTTATCACAAACTTTAGTGATGTGCAAACAAATTTTCATTCTGAAAAAAAAAAAAAAAAAAAAAAAAAAATGTTAGGGAACCACTGCTCTAAATCAGCAACTTGGGCCGAATCATATGTACCCATAGGAACATCAATGTTATCATTCTGGCATTTAGTCCAGGTGGAATCATTAAGGGTTAGAAGCGATTTTCTAGCTGCTAGAATGATGTTTCCTCATCAGTGATCTCCAGTTTTTTTGCACAGTTAATGCAATTTACCAAAAGATCCATGGAGACAGAGGAGTAGAAATGTATAATATCAATTTGATAAAAAGGTAGTTCTTTTCCTTTTTTTTCAATATTGATTAACCACCTGATCGTGCTCGATAAATCCTTCCAGAGATTAGTGTAGGGTGTAACTAGTAATTTATTGGTTATTTTTTTTTATGATTATATATTTTTAAAAACTAGACCTAGTTTGTTTTTTTGTTGGATTTATTAATCTAGACTGTAGGTTATTATTGAAGTTAGGTTTGTGATTCTCAAATGAAGCTATGCATCTTTGGTATGTACTTTTCCCACTATCTGTAATGTTTAAATTATTTGCAAAATTGGCAGTCACTTCGTCAATCTTTGAGATCATTCTGTTATAACTATCTAGTTTATATATCTTATTCTGTTAGTAAGAATTTTATGGTAATGTGAGGAGTTACATTTATAAATGTTTTGGGATTTGTCAAATCTGATCCAAATGTCTTTAGAGCTCTTAATAGTTTTTTCTGTCTTTGAATTGGTTGAATGGCTACCTGAATTGAATTTTTTTTTTTTTTTTAAACTTAATTAAACAAGTCTCTTTCAAGGGGATTTAGGAATCTGCTGAACTGTGGAGTTTGTTTTTTTTAAATTGTAAGTTTCATAAATACATAGAGTTCTCTTTTGTCGATCAGTTTTAATATTTTTATATTACTAGGATCCTTTCGGATTATATATCCATGGATTTATTTTACCTTTATTATATTGGTCCTATAACGATTAGCCAAGCTCTCTCGGGATTACTCCATCTGAAAAATTCTAACTACCTCTACAACCTACTACTATGGAAAAATCCTGTCTGGAATACACTCTAAAAAATATTCCATACCCTTCTTAACACTCGTTCAACCCGTCTCTCACAAAAAAAAAAAAAAAAAAGTGACTTTGTTAAAAGATTACAATAGAAGTGAACTTCTATCTCAACCCTTCTGAAATGCACGCAGACACATACATACACACACACACACACACACACACACATATATAAGTTATGAAGAACTTGGTAAACCGAATGGGTAATTCCAAGGAGGATGAAATCCTGAGAGCTCAATGTGAATACAGAGCTAATATTTAATGAAAAAAACAGACCACTTTAAGGTACCATTACAATAACTTATTTCACCAAAATCCTTTTTAAAGGACTCGGATCATCAGGTTACACTTCCAACAATGGAGGTGTTACCTGATGATCCGGAGTCCTTTAAAAAGGATTTTGGTGAAATAAATTATTGTAATGGTATTTTTAAAGTGGTCTGTTTTATATATATATATATATATATATATATATATATATATATATATATATATATATATGTCATCCACATAGAAGCTTGGTATCAGTGTGGCTAGATGTTGGATTGCTTCAAGCTGGGATCAAACTCAACAGAACTGCTGACCGATATATTTCCTCAACACTACCCTAGTCACACTGCTCATCCCAACCCTCCACTTGGTGGGTTAATGCTGCCACTTTAATTTTTGCTGATTTTAGGTCGGGCTAAATTTAATTTACTCTTTTATTGTGCTTAAAAAAAAAAAAAAAAAAAAAAAAAAAAAAAAAAAACACAAACAACCCTTATACCGCACGGAATAAATTGTTTAAAAATGGACATTTGAAAAGAATAAATTGAAATTAAAACATGTTCTATGAAAAACAGGGCATACAAATCATTAGAAACTTTTAAAAGATTTATTTATAAAATTAAAGCAATTAGCCATGTTAATTTTGTTTCATCCTGTTTTTTTTTAAAACTTACTTCGTTTATTTTTTTTTCTTGCCTCTTTATGATGAACAATATCAACAAAATGTTTTTGTTCAATATTTTGTGGCATTGAGTTAAAACAATTTTGGAGCCAGCTGAAGTCAAGAATAAAAACAACGCACTATGAAAGATTTTTGTTGCTTTGAAATAGATTATACTTGAATGTTGACTTGCTCTGGCTGAGCCCAATCGACGGAGTTGCCACCGATATATATACATATATTTTGCAATTGTCAGACAAACTTTGTCTGACGATCGCAAAAGCGTGAAACCCAGGGTCACAAACTCACATCAATCCAACCAAATATGTTGGATCTATCTCTGATATTGAGCGCTTAATAAATACTATATATATATATATATATATATATATATATATATATATATATATATATATATATATATACACACACACACAATATTTGGTCACTCAAAATTTTTTTTTTTTTATTTTTTTTTTTTTTTATTTTTCATCCTAAAAGTGTTATTTTTAATGAAACACCACAATGGTTTTATTTAGTATACTAAATACAAGTCTTCCTCGGTAACTTTGACTTCAGTATAACCAGATATCTTTTGAAAAATTGATTTCAAGGTGATTTTCTTCTTTAGTACTGAGCACGAATAAAACGTTTCCCAAAAGTTACATTATACCACCACTTGAACTCACATTAGACTATATTGCATTGAATAGATACTACCCGTTTTACCTGTGATAACCAGTCTAGGATAGAGAATTCTCTGCTGTAATACCTGCCTCTGTGCTAATCCAGATGTCTTGTATATGCTTGCTTCTGGGATTCTTAGCATTGTCTGTTTGAGCCTGCTGTGCAACACCCATACACAACTAGTTTCAACACAGCCATTGCTTATTGACAAGTCATCACATATTCACATATATATTTTCAAAGACCGAAAAGATAAACTTAAAATAAAAAATCCACTGACCTTGTTTTTGCAATATCAACTGGCATTGAGGCAGCTGTGGTGACTAAGCCACTTATCATACTGGCTCCGAAGTGACACATAATATTGTCGGAGAAATAAGCTGAAACAGGCAAGAAAAAATTAGACATTATTTACAATGAACATAAAGAAACAAAAAAAAAATATTTTTTTTTATCATTTCTCCCCAAGCAAGGTGGTAATGTCGCAAAGATGCAAGGGGTTACTGAGAGTGAAAGAAAATGATAAAATATTAACAAGGAGAAAAGACGACAAAAGAACAGGATCCGGGAAGACAGAAGATAGTAGGAAAGCAAGACGCTGAAAGAGAGTTCCACAGGGGAGATGTGTGAGAAAGGAAACTATTAGAACAGATCTTATGGTTGTATCTAGCTATTTCAACAGTAAAATGGTGAGACCTAGCTATCAGTTTAGTAGTATGCTTAAATTTATGAGGTCGAGGTACCAAAGAGGAAAGCTCATTTGAACAATGACCATGAAAATATTTATAGGAAAGATACAGGTTGGTGGGAAAGGGACTGAAGCTGAGATGATAGGTCAGGATCAGTAACATTGCAGATTCTTCTTTGAATTTTGTTTGGTTTGTTTTACAGCATATCAACCTCAGTGGGTTATTTAATGCTGACAAGATTTTTATTGCTGGTAATATTTTTTCCAATAATGTATTGCTGATAATTTTTCCTCAAAAAATTTATTGCTGGTATTAAAACCTATTTTTACACTTTCATAGTGTTTTGACCCCAGTTGCCGAATTCCAGAAGTTTGGTCTACTCGGGCTGATTCTAGCCCATACACCTAGAATCACCACAGATGGTAACACATTACAGCATGTTGGGAAAATTTGAAAATGGTTTTGTGTCCTCATCTAATTCACTGTCAGTGTTAGAGGAACCAAGAATATAGAAGATCATCAACTTCTGCATAATGTTAAAGAACATTTTTTTTTAACAAAGTTTCATGCTATTTTTACCCTGTGAAGAGCATTACCACTTGCTAGTGAATAGAAATTGAGAAAAGCAGTTCAACTCACATGTTGATAACAAAAATTGTTTAGCTTGAGAGTAGGATGCTAGCTGGGCAGCGTTGACCACCATTGCTCGAGCCACAGTCGGGATGCAACCCTGTTAAGAAAAGACAGTGATACTCTTAAAAGTCGGGTTTGGAAATGAAGCAATTCGTCATTCAACGATTTGCTTATTGGGGGGGGGGTTCGAGATTTTGAAACAAATGCATAAATTAAAAATTCATTCACTTTCATGACTGCATAAATTATTACAATGACAATGACTATTACAATGACAATGACTATTACAATGACAATGACTATTACAATGACAATGACTACAATGACAATGATTACAATGACAATGACAATGATTATAATGACAATGACAATGATTATAATGACAATGACGATGATTATAATGACAGAAATAAAAGAATATATAGCAATTCACTGATTGAGGTGAAACAATTTATGGTGGAATTTTTGAGGTGAGGACTCCTGATTATATTTTTCCATTGAGACTTGTATCCTCATCATTGTAGCATCTAGTCTTCTTTAGCTGTGTTTCCGTCATACTCGATAATCTCCTCTGAATTTTATTTTACCCTCATTGGCGGATTGTTCTCATTCCACTTTCCACAGTGAGTGGGTATTTCATATCCTACCATTTGAAAAAGATGTTCGGCTCAAGGTTCCAAAAATGACGACAGTGGATTGTCAGAGACTTTTAGTTCCAATCCTTGTATGGAATGATTGCTAAAATATCCTCAATCAATGTCGACCCTTAATCAACGTAATTATGGCTACAATTTAGATCAAGCCAAATAACTCACCCTCCACAAAGTCACTACACCTTCTTCTTTTGTAATTCTAAAGAGAGCATTGAAGACATTGGTATAACCTCTTTGTTGTTCAGGTGGCAGGCTGAAAATACAAGTAGAAATTTGTAAATAAGATATTCAAATGGTATAAAATTACATTAAAAATTATGGAGTTAGGTAAATACTGCCTATTTGTACAGGGTGGTCCAAAAGTTTTGTCACTAGCATTACCAAAAAGTAATGAGAACAATAGAAGAACAAGTAATACAAAGCACATGGACTGGATTCAGATTTGTTCACTTTCATTGACGCTGTCACACATCGAGGAGATCTATAAGAACACCATTTTCGTGGCACAAAATTAATGCGGCGCCATGTCCTGTGTGTTATTTTACGAAGCTGTTTTGTTGATTGTTGTCCATGAATGGCATCCTTTAATTGATGGGTATTTTGGTATCGTTCATGTGAAACTCTCTCTTTGATTATAACGCCCCCACAGAGTGTTGACATAGAAAATTATATTATGTAGGAGTGACTAAACTTTTGGACCACCCAGTACTTAGCCTATGACCCCAGTGGCAGGATGTGACCGAGAGACAATTTAATGTAGGGTGAGCATACTGATATGGTCTAAGTACAAAAACTGCACAGTCCCTGCAACCAGTCATGCTGGCATTCAACATCTAATATAAATGGTCATATTTGGTCACTTCTCTTCCAGCTTTCCAGTCAACTTTGATCTCCAGAAATTTAAATGCAATGTCAATTGTCATTTGTCTCCTAGAATCCTGTCCTTTCATTGTCCTCTCCTCAATAATATTTTATCAGCTTCTTAAACTCTTGTAAAATTCCTTGTGTCTTAAAGGCTTTATTGTCTTGCTTGGGGTGAGATGATTAATAAAAATGAAAAAAAAAAATGCATGAAGGCAGGACATTTGTTGGAATCCTTGGGACTAGATTTCCTACATGACTAAGTGGAAGATAAAACAGATACTACACTTTGAGCCTCTGTGTCTGAGTCAAGATGAACCTATCAGATACTGCTATTTGATGGATAAGATTCAGATATTTTTGAGGACTTTTTGGAGAATTGAAAGCAGAGTGAAGGAACGAAAAATAAATACCATCAAATATGGCATTTGAATGGCCAATACTTCAAACACCAATCACCATCATCAGGGATTCTATTACTAGGTGTGGTTACAGGGTCACTTCACAGTTGAACATCTGACCAGTTCCAGTCACATATCTTGGTTGAATGCCAGAGAAGTATTCATGTCTTAGGCAGTAGACCTGGCAGAACTCATCACTCCTCAGGTTGATGTCCCCTAACTTGAATGCTCACCTTAAGTTATGGACACATGGCTGTTGACTTCAGTCTAGGAAGCCCTTCGCTCATGGATGCCGAGTCATCACTTCATAAGTTGCATACATAGCTATGGTATCCAGTCTACCCCATTGTGCTAGATGCCAGTTCTGAGTGGCCTTACTTTCAATCCAGCTACAGGAACCAGGATTTGGTCATGGTCCTTGCTTTCCTTAAAGAGGGAAAAAATAAACCCTTAAATAGACTGCAATGCTCTCTGTAGCCAAGTGGTAAAGCATGCCAGATAAAACAGTGGCTTCTACAAAAGAAGGATGCAGGTTCAATCCCTGCTGGAAAGCACATTTTCTTTGAGATTTCCTGAATATGCAGACAAATAGAAAACACGGTTTGAAGTAAAAAAAATAAAATAGTGAGTCTATTTCAAATAAGACCATCCACTATAATTACATTTGAAGTATAGCTGGCCACTCATATTTGAGGATACCTGTCTACTAGGGCGGCTAGTCAATCCCTATTGCAGAAGCTTACTCGGGCGCATTTGTGTTTGCTCAACACCCACAGAGCCCGCTTGTGGTTTATACTGAAACTATGATGAGCAGACCTTAGTTACAGTTTCTGGGAAAGAGCGTGTTATCTAGTGTGATCAACAATTTGAACAAGGCCAGTAC